AAAAGATTTTATTTATTATTATAAACAAGAAAAAAAAGCCCCAATATTAACTATTCTTATTGGGGGGAACCATGAGGCACCTAATGTATTAAGGGAATTGTACGTATTTATTTATTTATTTATTTATTTATTTTATTTATTTATTTATTTATTTATTATACTATTCTTATTGGGGGGAACCATGAGGCACCTAATGTATTAAGGGAATTGTACGTATTTATTTATTTATTTATTTATTATGTAGTTAGTTAGTTAGTTAGTTAGTTAGTTTATTTATTTATTTATTTATTTATTTATTTATTTTATTTATTTATTTGTTTATTATACTATTCTTATTGGGGGGAACCATGAGGCACCTAATGTATTAAGGGAATTGTACGTATTTATTTATTTAGCTTATATATTTATTTATTTATTATATTTATTATATTTATTTATTGATTTATTTATTTTATTTATTTATTGATTTATTTATTTTATTTATTTATTGATTTTATTTTTTTATTATACTATTCTTATTGGGGGGAACCATGAGGCACCTAATGTATTAAGGGAATTGTACGTATTTATTTATTTATTTATTTATTTATTTTATTTATTTATTTATTTATTTATTATACTATTCTTATTGGGGGGAACCATGAGGCACCTAATGTATTAAGGGAATTGTACGTATTTATTTATTTATTTATTTATTATGTAGTTAGTTAGTTAGTTAGTTAGTTAGTTTATTTATTTATTTATTTATTTATTTATTTATTTTATTTATTTATTTGTTTATTATACTATTCTTATTGGGGGGAACCATGAGGCACCTAATGTATTAAGGGAATTGTACGTATTTATTTATTTAGCTTATATATTTATTTATTTATTATATTTATTATATTTATTTATTGATTTATTTATTTTATTTATTTATTGATTTATTTATTTTATTTATTTATTGATTTATTTATTTTATTGATTTATTGATTTATTTATTTTATTTATTTATTTATTTATTTATTTTATTTATTTACTTAGGTACTATGGAGGCTGGTTAGCACCAAATATATTTTATTTAGGACATTCAGGTGTAATTAAAGTTGGAGGAATTCGTATTGCTGGTCTATCAGGAATCTATGATAAACATCATTATAATCTAGGTAGGGTTTAGGGTTTAGGGTTTAGGGTTTAGGGTTTAGGGTTTTTTTTTTGTAGGACATTTTGAACGTCCTCCTTATGATTCGAATACAATGCGTAGTGCTTATCATGTCCGGCAATTTGAGTTAATGAAACTTCATTGTGTAAGTCCATAAACCCTAAACCCTAAACCCTAAACCCTAGCTTGTACCGTGTATATATATGTACATACTAAAACCGCCGTCGTTATGTTTATCTTATAGAAACCAGCTTCTAGCGATAAACCCTAAACCCTAATCACTATTAAACTAGATATGCTGGCTGATATGAGGGTTTAGGGTTTAGGGTTTATATGTATATACATATATACAGATAGAGGAACCTGTAGATATAATGCTAAGTCATGATTGGCCAGAAGGAGTATATAATTATGGTAATAAAGAAGAATTAATAAAAAAAAAACCTGCATTTATTGACGATATTAATCGTCATAATTTAGGTAGTCCTCCTTCTATGGCTCTATTAAAAAGCATGCAACCGTAGGCATACACCCCAAAACCCTAAACCCTAAACCCTAAACCCTAAACCCTAAACCCTAATTTTTTTTTTTTTTTTTGGAAACATGAATGTTGAGCATATCCAAGAGCATTGCAGATATTTATTTAAATTTATATATATATATATATATATATATATATGTATTTATATTAATTAATTAATTTAATATATATATTTAGATTTATTTATATATTTATGTATATGTATTTATGCAGGAGTTTCTGGTTTTCTGGCCATTTACATGTATATTTTTCTGCATTAATAACGCATGCAAATAAAAAAGAAACACGTTTTATGGCATTAGATAAGATAATAAATAAACGTTCTTTTATTCATATACTGGATATACACCCTAATTTATTATATACTAATAATACTAAATATATTAAATATCCTTCTTCTTCTACTAATATTCATACTCCTCTTATGATTGAGTAAGCTAATTTTTTTTTTTTTATTCAATTCTTTTCCCTTTTTACCTCCTCTTACTTTCTTCCCTCCCTCCTTTATTTATTTATTTATTTTATTTTATTTTATTTATTTATTTATTTATTTATTTATCTATTTAGGTATGACGTAGAATGGTTATCTATTCTACGAGCAAATCAACGATTAATACCAACAAGCAGATTCCCTACTAATGCGCATGCAGTGTAAGATACACACTGCAGCAGCAGCAGCAGCAGCAGCAGCAGCAGCAGCAGCAGCAGCAGCAGCAGCAGTCTTGTGCAGTGGGTTTGGGGTTAATTAGGGTTTATGAGCTGCTGAGGGTTTAGGGTTTATGAGCTGATGAGGGTTTAGGGTTTATGACGGTTTATATGCTTGCTACCGAGGGTTTAGGATTTAGGGTTTAGGGTTTAGGGTTTAGGGTTTAGGGTTTAGGGTTTATGTGTATTTATGTATGTATAGTCATCCAACAGAAGAAGACAGAAAGTTTGTCATTAATAAATTAAAAGAAATGATTAAACAAAGACAAGAAGAAAAAGAAGAAAAAGAAAAAGAAAAAAAAAAAGAAGAAAAGAAAGAAAAACAAAAAGATAAAGAAGAAGAAAAAGATAAAGAAGAAAAACAAGAAGAAGAAAAAGATAAAGAAGAAAAACAAGAAGAAGAAAAACAAGAAAAAAAAAAAGAAGAAAAAGAAGAAGAAATATATCCTTGGCCTCATTGGTCTAATCCATCTTTTATTGATTTAAAATTGCAAAGAAAATTTCTTCTCAATTTAATTGGAATGAATAATTATGATCTATTTGATGACTGTAAACCCTAAACCCTAAACCCTAAACCCTAAACCCTAATTTATCCTAGGATACAATAATTAACTCTAGGAAATAATAATAATAATAATAATAATAATAAATAATAATAATAATAATAATAATAAATAATAATAATAATAATAATAATAATATATGTTGTAGGTAAATGGTATTAAATAGGTGTAGCATAAGCCCCTAAACCCTAAACCCTCGCTAAACCCTAAACCCTAAACCCTTGTGATAATGTGTGGTGTTATTGTATTTGTTTGCAACAGCACCACCAACAGAAGAAGGATTTAATAAAGAAGAGAAAGGAGAAAAAGAAGAAAAAAAAGATTTATCTTCTTCTTTTATTAATAAATCTATTTCTTCTCCTCCTCCTCTAAGGAAACCACAACAAGAAGAAATCACATTAGATCTTGATGATTTATAAATAAATAAGTAAATAAATAAATAAATAAATAATATATATTATTTATTTATTTATTCTGCTTTTTTTTTTCTTTATTAGGGATTTACACAAAAAGATTTCTTTTTTTTTTTTGCATGCATGCATGCACAGACACCTCGTTTTATACCTCTAAAGTTTTTCCTTTTTTTCTTCTTTCCTGCTCCATCTACGAGCCTATAGCTAGCTATCTAGCTAGCTAGCTAGACAAATAACTAGCAAGACACCTAGTAGCACCGGACTGCCTACAGCTAGCTACCTAGCTAGCTAGCTAGCTGGCTAGCCACGCATGATTGGGTAGCAGCAAGAACCTGCATAAGTTATTATTTGTATAACCCTAAACCCTAAACCTAATAAATAAATAAAAAAATAAATAAATAAACAAATAAATAAATAAATAACTCAATAAAGGATGTATCTGTTTGTCTAGGTGTATATACACCCCAAGAGCATTCACCATGCCGTCGCTAAACAGCCACCAGGTGTAATGTTTACCCAGCTAGCTGTAGCTAGCTAGCTGTAGCTAGCTAGCTGTGGCTAGCTAGCTGTATCTAGCAGCTAGCCACACTAGGTAGCTACAGCTATCCATAGCTGCACTATAGCCTAGCTAGCTAGCTAGCTAGCTAGCTAGCCAGCTAGCCAGAGCTAGCTAGCTATATAAAAAGCCAGCTACCTATCTAGCTACCTAGCTAGCCACCTAACAATCTAAATAAATATCAATTAATTAATTAATTAATTAATTAATTAATTAATTAATTAATTAAATAATATTTATAATTTATTAAAGGAAATAATTTGTGCAGATTGTACAAGACCAGAGATTTCTTCATCATCATCATCATCATCATCTTCTCCTCTTTGTTGTTTTTCTTCTCTTTTTTTCTTGTCTTCTTCTGTCATACCTAATTCCTCTATTTTATCTAATACTTCTTGTGTATCTACTATATCATCTATTATTACACATTGAACCTGCAGCAGCAACAGCAGCAGCAGAAACAGCAGCAGCAACAACAGCAGCAGCAGTAGCAGTAGTAGTAGTAGTAGTAGCAGCAGCAACAGCAAAGGAGCAACAGCAACAACATAACCAGCAGCAGCAATACAACCACCAACACCACCAACAACAACAACAGCTGCAGCTGCAGCAGCACCTGCAGCAGCAGCAGCAGCTGCTGCTGCTGCTGCTGCAATATATAAAAGTCTATGTAGGTAACTGAAGGAATGTTGTTTATATGCATTTTCTCCCCCATTATAAACCATAAAAAAGCAGCAAAAAAAGCAGCAGCAACACAAACAGCAGCAGCAGCACCACCAGCAGCAGGAGCAGCAGCAGGAGCAGCAGCAGGAGCAGCAGCAACAGCAGGAATAATTATAAATACCTGTAACTTATAAAGACCAAATGCAAGAGGAACTTTTTTAGCATTTTCTCCCCATTTTAATCCATCAATAATAATTTGTTGAATATTTTGTTGAATTAAATCTAAATTTGTTTCTGAATTTCTTGGCTTTATCTCTATTACTAACATAGATTTATTTATTATTTCTTTTTTTTTATTCTTTTTCTCCTTTTCTTCCTTCTCTTTCTTCTTTGATTCAGATAATTTCTTTAAATCAGCAGCAGCAGCATCATCATCATCACCTATATATACACATACACACAAAATATTCATTTATTTATTTATTTTATTTATTTTATTTATTATTTTTTGATGCTAATGCTGCTCCTGCTGTTGATGCTGTTGCTGCTGCTGCTGTTTTTCTGCTCTTTTGCTGCTCTTTTGGTGGTTGTATGGATAGGAACAGTGTTTGTGTAGTATATTAAAGGGTTTAATTGAATAAAAAGACATTTTATTATTTATTTATATATAAAATATAATAATAATTAAATAATTAAATAAAAAAGAAATAAATAATAAATATATATATGCGCGCATATATATACATCTCTATCTATACACCGCAACTTATTTCTTTTTTTTCTTCTCTCTTGTCTCACCAAAAAGATCAATATCTTCTTCTTCCTCCTTTTTTTGCTGATTTCCTTTTACAGAGGAAAGATAATAACGGCAAGCAACAGATAATTCATTACGAGGGCAAATTGTCACCATTTTCTTTATATTTATATATATATTGTGTATATTGTATTGATAAGAGAGCAAGTATTGGGGTGTACGTACACCTCAAAAAGATGAAAAAATGTTGAATTATGCAAAAAAATTAATTCTTTATTTTATTTATTTATTATTTTTATTTTTAAATTTTATATTTGAAACGCAAATGCAAAAAACGACAACTTTTATGGGGTCTTCTGTGGGGGTTGCTATTTATGCATGCATGCGCTGCCAGCCCCAAGAAGGAAATTCTTCTTTATTTTATTATTTTTTCCTTGTTTTTATATATTTTTCTTCTTTTATTCCTTTTTATTCCTCAAAACCGCAGAGTTTGAGTCTAAATAGCAACCTTTATCTCTAAGGGTGAAGGAGAAGCCCCGCTGAGTAGCTTCCAGAAGAACAAACCCTAATAAACCCTAATAAACCCTAAACCCTAAACCCTAAACCCTAAACCCTTAATCCTAATTAATTCTATTGACTTGTTATATACAAGAAGGAGCTCCCTATTCTTTTTTAGAGGGAAAGGTTCTCTCAATTGCCATTGAAAAGGGTTTCTGGCTATATTGCTGCGAATAGCGAAATTCAAAACAAGGGTTTAGGGTTTAGGGTTTAGGGATTAGGGTTTAGGGTTTAGGGAATGGGGCGGAAAAAGATTAAGAATAAATCAGCTGATGGTGGTGTTAATGGGGAAGATGAGGAGAGTAAAGAAAAGACAAAAGATCTATTAGAGGATTCAGAGGAAGAAGGAGAAGAAGGAGAAGAAAAAAAAGGAAATAAAAATAAAAATAAAGAAGAAGGTTTTAATATAACTATTAATAAACAATATGCACAAAAATATGAACAAAGAAAAAAAAAAGAACTTCTTTCTAAACATAAAGAAGAACTAGAGGAGCTCAGCGGTAAACCCTAAACCCCAAACCCTAAACCCTAAACCCTAAGAATTAAAATTTATTCTTTTTGTTATATTATATTATTACTATTATTATTTTTACTATTATTATTGTACTTATTGTATAAATTAAAGAAGTATATATTTTTTTAATTAATTAATTAATTCCTTTTTTATTGTTTATTCCCTACTTGCGGTGTATGTGCAACTTTTCGGGTGTATGTGCAACTTTTTTTGCATTTCTTGCAAAACAAGAGAATAAGTAACAATAATAAGAATAAAAAGTATGAATAAATTAATGAATTAAATATAATAAAATAAATGAAACAAAATACAATTAAATATAATGAATTTCTTTTTTATTTCTTTTTTTTCCTTTATACAGAAGAATCCAGCTCGGAGGAAGAAGACGAAGAAGGAACCTTATTAACACCGCAAGTAGAGAAGAAATTCTTGAGGGTTTTATCATTAATAAAAAGCAAAAACCCTAAAATTTATGATAAAAATAAAGTCTTTTTTAAGGATGAGGACTTTGAGGATACAACAGCAGAAGAAAATACAAAAAAAGAGGTAAAAATACATATATAATTATTCCTAATCATTAATTCTAGGGTTTAGGGTTTAGGGTTTAGGGTTTATTGCTGAGTTTATAGATAAAAATAAATAAATATTTTTTCCCTTTTTGCGGTGTATAGGCAGCTGTTTACCTCGTTTTAACGCTAATTTTAGATATATTTTTTTCTATATGTACACTAAACCCTAAACCCTAAACCCTAAACCCTAATTTATTGTTTTTTTCTTCTTTTTTTTTATAACAGAAACCCTTAAAATATAAACAATTTGTATCTGAGACATTATTAAAGGAAGGAGCAGAAGGGTTTGAGGGAGAAGAAGAAAAACTTCAACAAAAAAAAGAAACCGCTAAATGTAAATATCCTGTTGCTGTTGCTGCTGCTGCTGCTGCTGCTTCTGTTGCTGCTGTTGCTGCTGCTGCTACTGGTGTGCTTTGTTATTGTTCCTGCTGCTGCTGCGGTTGCGTTTCTTGGTCCTGATCTTGCTGCTGCTGCTGCTGCTGCTGCTGCTGCTCTTTTTGTCGGTTTTGAATTATTTTCGCTGCTGCTGCTGCTGCTGCTATTTACGCTGCTGCTGCTGCTGCTGCTGCTACTGCTGTATATTTAGTTTAATTAATATATATGTTTATTGTGTATTTATTAGCTGCTTCTTATGAGGAAGAAATGAGTGAATTAAAACGTTCTTTCTTAGCAGCAGCAGCAGCAGCAACAGATGAGGAAGGTGCGGATACACCCGAGGAGGGTTTGCTACAATTAAAGAAAAAAGGAGAAAAAGAAAAACAACAAGAAGAAGCAGAATATAAAAAATTCCTTGATGTAATTATAATTAACCCTAAACCCTAAACCCTAAACCCTAGCTACTCTAGGAAAACCATACAAACAACAGTTCTATACTTCATTCTATCGCCAGGGTCTAGGGTTTATAGGGTTTAGCTAGGGTTTAGGGTTTAGGGTTTAGAGTTTGTGTTGTTGCTGCAGGCGAAGAATGCAGAAAGAGGAACAGCAGCAGATTCTGTTTTGGCTCGTTTTTGGGGTAAGTCTGAGCTGTACATACACCCCAAAACCCTAAACCCTAAACCCTAGCTAAACCCTAAACCCTAAACCCTAGGACTATTTTATAAGCGAACCTAAGACCATCAACGGAACCAGAGCATCACAACCACCACCACCACGACGACCACCACCACCGCAACCATCAGCAGCAGCAGCAGCAGCAGCAGCAGCAGCAGCAGCAGGAGTGTGTCTGTGCTGCAGCTGATGACAGTAAATTGGATGAAAATGAGAGATTTTTAAGAGATTTTATTTTACAAGAAAAATGGAGAGAAGATAAAATCTTTCAGCAACAAGAGGAAGAGTTAGTTTTTTTTTTTTTTTTTTTTTTTTTTTTTTTTTTTTTTTTTTTTTTTTTTTTTTTTTTTT